CGTGTGGTCTAAGTATTACAATTCTGTGACATGAAGCCTTGTTTACGATTTGATAGACCATTTTGTCTTTTTCACGTTGTTTCCGCCAAGAAATGAGCCATAGCGTCGTAACGGTACAAGATAGAGCAAAACGGACGAAATTTTCGCCCAGAGGGTTCTACTTTCACGAGTAACCTGTTGATTTTTTAAAAAGTCAATTTTTGAGCCAGGGTGCTCATCTTCGAACTTGATCCGTCTTTTTATGATTCAAAACGACCCTGAAAATCCCAGGTCGCTATCTCAATTCTGTCTAGAGTTATCGTGCGTGCAGACGGACAAACAGACAAACAGAATGAAACTTTTCCGGTTAGTGGAGTTATGGGCTTCGCTTATCGCTCAGCCAAAAAAGCGTCAATATTCATGTTTGCGATAAAAGGTAGGGCTGTTAACTCAAACATTAACATTCGTATACGAAAGAATTTAATTTTGGTTAAGTTAGCACACCCTGCAGGACCCGGGCTGTTTTGAAACAAAGAGGGAACTAAACAGTAGGGTGGAGTGAAAATCTGGGATCTTAAAAGTTGACATGGATTATTGTACTTCAAGATATCCTAAGACCAGGTGCAGGGTCGATTTGGAACCATCGGAGGCCCTTAGGCTCCTGCAAAGGGCCTAAAGTTAGGTCTGCAGGGCTAAAACACCACATTTTGACCTCCAGGGGTCAGTCTACGTGTCATCCGGGAAACGGCTATCTCTTAAAAGGTTCGGAATACATCCAAGTAAGTACCCACGAAGTTTGAACCCACTGCGCCATCGTCTTCAGCCTGGCCTTTCGACTTTTGTGTCCAAAAAACGCTCGTTTTTATTACCTGAAAAAGGGTTTTTCACTCATATCTTCAAAACCATCGGTCTATCAGAAAAAAATAATAAAATGAAATCGTCTTGTCTTGTCGAGATGCATCGAAATCATCTTCTGTTGTCATATCCGTCCGACCAAAGTTTGGGAGATATGGTCAAAAATCGCAATTTTAGGCTGTTTTTGGACATCAAAAGTCGAAAGGCCAGGCTGAAGACGATGGCGCAGCGGGTTCAAACTTCGTGGGTACTTACTTGGATGTATTCCGCACCTTTTAAGAGATAGCCGTTTCCCGGATGACCCCTAAGCTGACCTCTGGAGGTCAAAAAGTGGTGTTTTAGCCCTGCAGACCTAACTTTAGGCCCTTTGCAGGAGCCTAAGGGCCTCCGATGGTTCCAAATCGACCCTGCAGCTAGTCTTAGATTATATTGAAGTACAATAATCCATGTCGACTTTTAAGATCCCATATTTTCACTCCACCCTACTAAACAGGCCCTGTCGTTTATTAACGGGATTGCTCAGGATTGCTAAGATTGCTGGGGATTGCTAAAGATTGCTGAGGATTGCTACAGATTTTCGCTAGATTGCCTGGATTTTTTTGGATTGCCGCGGATTTTGAAGATTGCCGTGGATTTTGAAGATTGCCTGGAATTTTCCAATATTTCGCGGATTGCCGTGGATTTTTAAAGGTTGCAATCGGATTGCTAGGCGGGTGTACACCGGATTGCCGGAGTTGAGGCCCCCTCGGGTCGTTCGCCACCGCGCAAGCGAGTTGCTTTTAAGTTTCATTCTTTCTTTGAGCTGCTTCAGTCTCGTGTAGTGGTGTCCTATGATCGGTCGCTCGGCGCCGATGGGTGCCCATCGGCCGAGCGAGAGAGACGGAGCTAGTGGCCAGCTAGCGCGTGCGAGAGAGGCGGCAGACAGGTAAGGTGGAGTGAGGGGTTGAACGACCATTGGACATCACCGGTCTCGACGATGGATTTGCCCCGGATGTGGTATGAGGAAAGCATTGATTTGTTCCCGGTTCAGGTCAGAGAAGTATTTTGGCAAGCTGCGACGCGTTACGGAGGGTATCAGCTTCGAGGTGCGCATTATTTTGTAATGAGTATAAGGGGAAAGATGAGTATACGCGAAAGCTTGTGTTTTCGACCTATGAATGTTATTGTGCGAAATGTTGCGCACTGTGCGAAAATAAAGCCCTCACCTCGAGGGCATAAATGAGCTTTATTAAATTATGGAACAGTGCAGAATTAATTTGAGACCTTTTTGCCCTTTGGGAAAATAAATTACGCACGGGTGCTAAATGTTTTGCACCAGAAGAAATTTGCACAGCATAGTGCGATTAAATAAAATTTAATTTAATTCTCCATGCCAACCCTGACATTAAGCTACCATCTTATCCCCCTCATCAATATTTTGAGATAGCTTTAATAAGGCAATATCAAATAAAGACAGTGATAGATGATATGGTGACTAAAATGAAGATGATGTATGTGAAATTTCAATAGAAGCACACCTTCGCGTTCTACTAATCATGCAGCTCTTCTACATTAATAACTGGTGGAGCAGACGAGACTTTAGAACTATTTGTTGATGTGATAGGTTGGGCTGAAGGACCAGTAGAGACCTTACAATTATGTAAAGGTGTGACAGGCTTGACTGGTATGGAAGGGGCTTTGGGGTCATCAACATCCTCTTCATCTTCATCTTTATCGTAGTCATCATACTCACTATCACTGTCACTATCTCCATTAGCAGTAAACTTCATTTTAGAGTAATCAATATAGTCGACCTTATCAAGTCCAGAGCACAATTCCCAGTCTTGGTGGATTAACTTTTCAATTTTATTTACAACTTTTCACCATATTTCAGGGGTCACACTTTCAATGTATGCCATTTCTCCAGACACTTTTCCTCTGTAAAGAATATGCATATCATAATGCCTTTGAAGAAGAGCCCAGATTAATTCTATGGGGTTGTACTGGCAGAGGTACGGCGGTAGTCTTAGGACTATATGCCCTCTCTTAGTCGCTTCTTCATTTGCCAAATATCTACAAATAAGAAAATGTGAAGAATAATTCTTCAAAACATACATCAGTAAAGTTTGAATAAAAGCGGATCATGCATTTAAATATGAATACCTTCTTCGCTGTCTGTGAATTTTAGCCAAGGCATATAATTTAACCTTAAGCATTGATTCTGTGAAAGGCACATTGTGCTGTCTCAACCATTCTGCAATTTCATGTTTACTCCAGCCACTGGTTGCTTTAGGATTGGCGGCGTGCAAAAATTACGTAATACGTTTAGGGGGGGGGGGAGGGTCTTCCGGGCCTAAAATTTAACATACTCGAACCATTTGTCGGGGTCTTCTTACTTTAAAATTAGGGA